TCCCTTTTTCACTACCTCCTGTGGTAGCCTGAATTTCCCAGGTAATGGACATTCATGTAATTTCATCCAAGAACAACAACCCTGTCACACAGGTCGGAATAAAAAGGTGCTGCATAGATGCAGAAAGGGAACTGCCCAGATCAGCATTAGGAACTGCAGTCCTTTCAAGTCAGGACCTGAGAAGACTGTCAGATTAGTCTATCAGAAAAGCTTCCCTCTGGGTAGACGTCACCGTAAGTGCTGAAATGTACATATTTCTGACCAGCCAAAAACCACTGTTAATATTAGCAGAACAGTACGCTTAGACCTGCTATTAATGACTGTAATTAGAGGTTGATGCCTGGGCTTCTCTATTGATGCTTAGTCCCCAGAAGGTGTTTTGCCCTGTATTCCTTTTTCATCTATCCTGCTCTTCCTAGCAATGACATAATAGACATCAGTACGGCATCATCAATGACATGCCAGTGCTGTGACGGCACTGCAGCAAAAAGTACAGTCAAGGCACTATTTAACAAATGAGGATTATACAACAGAATGAATAGTATACAGTATACATAGCTATGAGTTACCATATTTCCTTGGACACCGCATTTGGCCTTGTGTACGTGATATTGTGGCATTTAGCATTAATATGAAGCTGCCTAGCATCATTCAGCTCGGTATATAGAAAACATTGGGGTCTCAGGATAAATCATGTGGTATAGAAATGAATCTTTGAAAAATGCTGCTTTGGTTCATTTGCTTGTGCACAACACTGTACAACAGCGTGACACGGCCTGTCCTCAACCCTCCCTGTGAACACAAGGTAGAAGGTCTTCAGCATTTAGGCAGAATAGGGCTCTCTGTTGTTTTCCATAGGGCTTATTGTTGACTCTGAAACAATGCTGTGAAATACCAGAATGCGTCAAAAAGGTTGCAAAAGTGAAAGATAATTTCATACTCACAACATATTAATTCAGAAAAATGCAGACATTATTAGCCTTTATTAAGAGAAAGGGCTCATGGGCCCGGTATTAAGTCTCTGGAGCCACCTCTTCCGGTCCCTTTTTCTATGCATGGCAATGAATTGCAGCAAGATATTATTCTCCCTCTGACCTGCACACTATTATCTGTAAAATGAAAATACTGAAAATTCTCTAAATTTCAGGTGGGATGAGAACCCTCTTCAAGTTAAAAAAGTGCTTAGAAGAAGGGCTGCAGTGTTTAGAAGCATGATTATGACTAATCGCATATTTTAGGAAATCAGTGCACGAGCAGCCTCACTCTAATCTCACAGCAGGTTCACAGCCAGACAGCTCGCTCAGCTGATAACCAGGGAGATCAGAATCAGGCCCAAGACAGTCATTTTTATCCCACTTGGTATCCTAGTAATGGCCACAAAAATGGAATATAAACCTTTTGTCTCTGTACTTCTACAGACGTATTTCCTGTGTATTTATTGCACTGCATTCACAGGCATTTCTAAAAGCCTGGAATCACTCCCGCTCCTGTAGCTCTTTAAAAACTCATTCGTGGCAGAAAAATAGCTCTGAATAACACAGGGCTGCCATTGCCTGGTTCTTATCTCACCCTCCCCAGCCTAATCCTCTTATAATGCCATTGACTTCAATAGACACATGCTTGATTAATGCCACTGTAAATAAGATCATATCAGACTATAACCTACATTGTTCTGTGAAAAGACATACAAAATAAAAACAGTAAAGATAGTCAACAAAAATCTTCCATTTAATAATGTAACCAGAAATCTTTTTATTCTAAGTAGTCAAAAGGGGAGACTTAGGTAAATACCAACTACCAAATAGGCAAAATGGGTTGATATCAATACACACCTGAAAGTCAGTAAACAAATCAATACAAGCCTGACATGGAAGATGCTTCTTTGCTTCAGATCAGGTCACTAATGACCCCCGATACGAACACATGTTCGCTTTTGAGGTGTAGCAACAGGCAAAGTAGGCACTCATGTTTCCAGTGCCAGGTAAAATGCGCCATACAAAATACTGCCATACGCTGACAGCTCTGTACAGCTCTTGTTGTCCTGGCAGTCCGTGCAGCCCACTTCTTAATGCAGATGCGCTCCTATAAAAAAACCGTGCCTGCATTGTTCTTGTTGCCTCCTGACAAGTTGTGAGCTTGCCAGATCATACTGAGGCAAAGGTGAATGCAAGCATGAATGTGAATGTGAGCAAGTGGTGCGATCCACCCTGGCTGTGCAGACAAGCCTGCTCAACTGGCAGATCGTTATGAAGCGTAGAAATGGGGGTGAATTTGTAAAACACAGCTGATCAAATGTTGACTGAAGAAAGCTTAGAACATCTTTGACCTGGAGCCACGTGATGCAAAGCTTCATATTTCAAGGGGGAAGGTGCTGGCTAAGCAATTACAGATTTCTTCACTTGCTGATTTCAACTGAGTACATAGGGACTGGCGTCCATTCTTAAAAACGGAGAAGAAGAACTAACCCAGCACCAAGTCTAACTATATCTTTAAAATTCTGGTGATGAGAAATAATAAAGTCGTCCAGCATTTTAGATTGTCTTCTAGAATGAAGACATTAACCACTCTTCTGATTCCTTTCTCATTTCACTTAAAGTGATCCAAACAAAACCAAAAATGTGCTTTAAAAAATGGCTCCAATTGCAAGACCTGAAAACTTAAAGCTTCATCACAAAACTTCATAAAATAAATCTATCACCAAACTTTGTTGCAAACTCTACTGACCACCAGACAGTTTTCTAACTTTTAGTGAGGATTACAGCTACAGTGTGCAGAGGTACCATTTAGATTAGCATGCACTGACTGATGAATCACACATTGTGCTTCAGAAGAGAGCATATTTCTTGAGAAATGTCCATGGTTCTTGTTTGTATTAGAAATTCTATGATGTCATTTCTTCCCTGTGTTATTTTGAATATTTCTGTTGCCTATAGAGACTACAAATTGCAGATGCTGGCAAAGATTTTTTTCCGAGCTAAATAAACATTTTCAACCAGTTTGAAGTTTGGTTTCAAGTTTCAAGTTCAAACTGGTTCTTATGTTATCCATATGTTTGCCCTCTCTTAAGAACAGAGATCTTCTGAAAGTTATATAAATTTCTTTCAGTAAAAAGCTCTGGTCTAACTTTTTGTAACGCGACCACTATTTCGACATGTCAA